GGGTATAAAAACAATGTCTATTTCTTTAATTAGTTACTTAGGTTTTATGCTTATTAGAATTAGATAGTTATGCAAATATGACATCACAACTGGATCAATGATGGCATAAAGTTTATGTGTTCAGCGTCATAATTAGATTCAATGTATACAGATAATATTCAGCCTACCTCGTACAAACATATTACATGATACTAATTAAGCTGGAGCGACTAGAGTTAAATCATTGTTACTACTCAATTTCATCACTTCATCATAAATTGATCCATACTTTAAATTAAACGGATCTTACTACTGTATTCATTTTTATTTCAAGCCAAAATGATCAACATAAAAAATAATAATTATTAACTTGACAGTTCTCTTATTCCATTCCATAAATTTTTGCCAGTAAATAACTTTGACATGGAGTCTAGAATTATACTTTAGTTATACAACTTACATGAAGTTATGAATTGTGATATCTGTAAGCAATAAGTTACTACAGGAAATATCAATTATATACTGGTTTATCATGGATTGAGTTTTAGCATTTATAGATGAGAAGGGGTTTCATGGAGATTTCAGTATTTTCATGATTGAAATCATGAGTCAATTGAAGTTAGACCACCATGGAAAATCTGGAAGCACTAGACGACCGTCTCGTCCTATTGTGGGACTCCTCAGCAGTGCGCATCCACCATCCCACCTCACGAGATTCGAACCCAGGACCTATCAGTCTCGCGCCAGAGCAATTAACCGATAGACCACTGAGATGGCCGGCATCCAGCAGTGTTAATGTCTAACTTCAACTATTTCACGAAGTTTGAGCAACCGTTCACCAATTGTCTTCAGTGAGTTGTTATCTCACTACAGACGTGGTTGAACTCCACTGGTCACTGCTTCCCACTAGAACTCCAGGATATATCCCTTGTAGTCAGTCTCTTAATTTAATTTAAGGCATTTAATTTAAGGGTGATAATAAAACTGTGTCAAATATTTTCCCACGTTTAAATTATGAAGCATTTATCAGTAAGGGCCTGGATTATCTTTTTACGGATATGCAAAACTGAAAATTAACTTGCCTTTATTGATGTGTAGTATAATTTTTCTTATTACGACCCAGCTATTCCTATTGCTTAGTAATCTTGAAGACCAATTCGCTCGATAAGTCCCCAAATCAGAACACGGTTAAACAGGAAAGAAATTATATCCTGAATAACAAGGGTTAGATGAAGTAAGAAGCATGATAAGAAATACGTTAGTATATTTATAGTTTTTACATGAGAAGATTCTAGAGTCTTTTCCAAGTATCGACCAGTGCTGATTGGCTAATTCTTAGCCAATCAGCGTGCACCAACACAATCGTGCATGAAACATACTTTAATCCAATCTATGTCCCGCTAACAATGTGTATGAGTTGTCTACGGCTAGCTTTCAAGTACTCATTTCCCAACACACTTTATATGATAGATGGATTCTAGCTAACAGTGAAATCCAGAAGACTCGTGTAATTCTATATGGAACTTGTCAGCTGATGGGTATACCTACATCATAATGCTGATGTTCAAGCTCGAAACCTTTCGCTTAAAAAATTAGAACACTTGATCGACCGAGCTATTAAGTGTAGATATCTATTAACATCAACACTGAAATGCAAATATACTCAGTTGATGAATTCCAAATTCAATAAAGTACATTGTCCTGAATTCAATTGCTAACCATAGTCCATGTATTACATAAAACATATGAGCTATTTAGTTATAACTTATCTGATTAAAGGTAGTGTTTTCTTTAAGATATGAAAGTGATCAAATTTTGGATTCTTAGAATCAAGAATGGTTACGGTTAAGGGACTCATATAAAGTCATTGAATAATGTTAAACATTCTTCAGACGTTACCAGTTCCTTTTTCTACCTTTAATAATGATCATAATGTCATATTCGTAGTAAATTATACTTCCAAGACTATTGCGTAAACAATGGTAGCATTAAGGTGCATTAGAAACGTGTAATATTTTGAACAAAGACAAATCACATGGTAGGTTAGTTGTTTCTTAGATCACATGACACATGCTGTGCTGTACCCATGTAAACTTTTTCACCTAATGGTCTTTAAGGTTTTAATGAAAATATTGATTATTTGTTATTATGTGCCTTTTAAAAAACCCAGAAACGATTATAAATCTAACTAAAGGAGGAAAAAATTTATTTATTTTCCGGGTAAAATTGGGCTTTCAAAATTGTATCACATGTTTTGATTTTTTGAAGGGAGAAAAAGTACTACTAGTGTAATGAATGAGAACAGGAGTGGGGATAATCGAATACATTTGACACGAAAATTACAGAATATCTCACTAAATTCTGTTAACCATACAGTAAACAGTTAATTTGTAAAATAACAATCAATTATCTCAATCGTAACTGTTCCTTCTGCAAATATCTGTCCATCTTCTCTGAATTCCATTGTTCATGCATTTTCATACCAATTGCGTTCCGCTCCGATTCTTTCCTTATTAATCTTCGTGTGAAATACATTCAATGCCCAACCATCGTTATATACTACTTATTTGGATATAAGTATCCCACACCACACTAGCAGTGGAGAAATATTATAATTATGAAAGTCCAACTAATCAGGATACAAAACACTGAAATAAAAAACGTTTCTGAAGCTCATAGTTTGCATCACGGACTGATCTTAGTAAGGCAATAATTGAAAACCCGGAAACGCTAGACAGCTGTTTAGTTATTGTATGAGACACTCTAGGATTAGGCAAACACACTCCCATCGGGAATCAAAGATATGAATTTCAGTCAAATATATACATCATTAAATGCCGGCTCAGTCAGAATCGTATGACTGGATCTTGATTTAGTGTTTCCAATAGTTGACTGTTCTTCATGAAACCTCAAAATCCAAGGGTCGATCCCTGAAGGGGTTTTTGGTACACACTATTAAAACTAACCTTTTGTCCATTGCTCTCAAATATAACCTATGAATAAAGATGAATCTATTCATTTATTAACTTGAAAATTTTAAGTTTAATTCGCTTCGGCTGTCTTGAATGAACCTTGGTGATTGTCTAACAATTCTTTAGACCATAATAATATCCAATAAATTATTTCTAAGTAAAAATTAGTGGGGTAATTATCTTTCATAAAGTCGAGTCGACGAAATGACGACTGATGATTATTTTCTCAGTTTCCTGGTTTGAATCTTAACAACCCTTATATCGTCACTCCTTGATTCTAAATATTAGACAATACTTTGTGCACAAATATGTCTTCAGTAAAATAAATCTTAATTCTGTTCATCTAGTTACGTAACTAAATATGCCCTATAAACTGAAGTGATCAACTAGTATTTTAGATTGTTTTGTTAATCACAATAAGTCAGAAATTTCTGCTCCCTGAACCTTTATGTGATCTGCAGTTATAAGTTTGTATAATTAAAGTTTAATGGTTTGAAGTTGAAGAACTCATGTGGTTGATTTAATGGCTTGTGACTGAAGTATTTCATTATGTAAGAATTATTCCACGTGTCTTTCCATTGGAAAATTAAACATTAAATCGAACTACTTAAGTAGTACTTTTCACTTTAGATTATTTCTATGATATATATATATATATATATATATATATATATATATATATATATATATGTCCGTGGCAGAGAAGCCAACTAATGCAAACAATTTATCTTGAAAGGAACATTGGTGAACAAGATAAAACTAATTATTCTATGACAGGGTGTTCAATATTCAAATGAAGTTAAAACTGATCTGGTTTAGGTCATAATAACAATAATCTTGTTGTGTATAATTCATTTGGACTATAGTTGTTTTTTCCCAGTACATTCCGTAATGCTGTCTAACGGGTTATGATTGTAGGAACGATAGTTAAAACAACTTGGTCTTTAATATTTCATTTGTTTTAGAATTATAATTATTAAAAACTATGGATTAAATGCAATCAATAAAAACCTGGAAGCACAGCACGACCGTTTCATCCGAGCATGGGACTCTTCAGAAGTGCGCATTCACGATCCTGCATGCAGGACTTGAACTGAGGACCTTCGGTCTTGCGCACCAACTTTTAACTTCTAGGTCACTGAGCTAACATCCAACGATGTTAATTTCTGACTTCAATCAATTCATGATAGATGAAGCGTTGCGCGAAATCATGAGCCGATTGAATTCGGACATTAACACCGTTGGATGCCGGCCTAGTGGTCTAGAAGTTAAACGTTGGTGCGCAAAACCAAAGGTCCTGGGTCCCAGTCCCGCATATGTGATCGTGGATGCGCACTTCCAAGGAGTTCCATGCTAGGACGAAATAGTGGTCTAGTGCTTCCAGATTTTAAATGGTGGTCTAGCTTAGATTGATCCGTAAATTAAAATGTTAAAATACTACAATCTCCAGAAATTCTCATGCTGATACTAAATACAGTCAGTCTAAAACAGTGAATAAAGCACATATATCGAACAGCAACGCAATGTGGAGATAGATAAATAAATTATTAGAAAGAGTAATACTCCCAAGGAGGGTGCAGTTTATATTGATTGACAGCTGAATAAAGGATGAACTCAACAATGTCTAACTTAGTCCCACTGGTAGACTTATAAAGTGAAATTTTATTGATCCCTTTAGTTGTAATGATAACTAGAATTGATCACCAACATAACAATGAAACATACACATTTCTTTTGGAATCGTTATCGACTCAAAGTTTTAGTTAGATGATTATCACTTGATCATAGTCAAAACAATATCGTTTATCCCGATAACAGATGTAGTAGAACGTGCCACAATTTGCAACATGGTCGATATAAGTTCACAACTGTGTCAGTTTAAAACTTCATCCCTCTTTAAAACTTAGTTGATAATTTCACTTTCATATGACTAATTCCAAACTTCTAAAGTGTTTATCCTTTTTGGTAGTAATGAATAATCATTCATAAATCTGCATGACATTAAACACTTTATGCTTCTTATTTTTTCCTTCAAAAAAATATTTCCAGTTAAAGTTCATGCGATTGGATCACCACAATCACTTCCAGCGACGGCTACCCCAACAACAACCATTGTTCACTCAACACAAGTACCTTCAACAATTAATGTTGCCATTGGTTCAGTTACAAGTGGTATTTCCACTAGTGGAATTCATTGTACACCTATTACTGGTAATCATGTAGCATTGAATTCATCAACAATTATACAAAATGAAGATTCAACTAATACCACTGCTACCACTAATAATAATAGCAGTAGTAGTAACCAACCACAACAACCATATACAATATATTATGCTTTACCAACAAACGATTTACTACGTCAACTTAAATTAAATCATCAAGCTATTCAAATCGATTCAAGTGCATCATCAAGACCACAAATTATTCAAACACCAGCTGGTTTAATGTTTGTTCAATATCCTTCACAATATCAACAATCTTCAACAGGTAGCTCATCACCAAGTAAACTCAATACTGGATCACAACAACAACAAAATCAACAAATACAAAATGATAATACATTACCACGTAATACAATGACATCAACTAAGCATAATATACAAGCAATAGGTGTTGTTAATACTGGAGTACCTGTTAATGCTTCAATTGCTGGTAGTCATGTTGATTCAAATACATTACCACGTCATACACGTGTTGAACATGTACAAGGTTCCGGATTAATTTGCACTTGTCCACCTGAAGTTCATCAAGGTAATATAATACAATTTATACATAATACCATCATTATTATTATCATTATTTGAAGTATTAACAGTACAAGATCTTAATGAATCTGGTGTACCTAAAGACTTAATTGTTTAAATAGATAAGTGGGATCAGATACATTTAATTATTAATTTATAGATTAATCTTACTTGAAACTAATGGAGCCAATGTCCAGCATTTCCTTCTCATTGACCTATAAATGGATATAAACGCTTATCCTATGCTCAGCTAAGACTTAATTCATTCAGGAAAACTTACAGATTTCTTGTCGATATTTCTTATATCATTTACAACATCCAGTAGATAACAGCTTATGTTGTGAAAATCTTTTTTATGAGAATGACATGAGATGAGTTAGATACAGTTACCTTTTTATTTCAATCTAAATAACTAAAACTCGTTGGATACCATGCAACGGTATTGTTATCGATTAATAACTCATTGATAGTATATGCGAATCATAGGATATGGCAAGTTGGTAGAATTCAACAATATGAAACATCGGATTTCGGTTTAGTAGTCAGAAAGATCAGTGACAACCAGACTCAAAGCTATCAGTTCTGATACTGTGTGACTATATTGGCACGAATCTGTTGAAAATTCCTAAACTAACACGGAACTGTTGTCCCTTATCCTCTGGTTTTCTATTGACTCTACTTATAATATCCTATTTTCTATGTATTACGAATCCAAGTTTTATATGGTTACTTAACAAGATCATTAGATTATACGGTCAGCTAATGATAGATTCTCAAACGACAAATAACACTAGTAACCTCTTTACAAGTCGTGTTCAACGGGTATGCTGACACTGATTGACCGAAACAACTTACGTTTTTCCTCTGCCTACCTAATCGGAATTTACTTCGGATTATTAGGAACTAAAAGCTGACATGATAGTTCGGATCAATTATAGGATCACAATATATCATGAATAGGGAATCACAGTGCAGTACCAGGTCAACTGTAGTACAAAGCTGAGTATTAGGTAAATAGTTAATGACTTACATAAAAGCCTGCAAATAGGACAAGAAAACTGCACCATCAACAAAATATTTGATGAATATAAAATTTAAAAAATAGATGTAATCATTTACCGTAAAATAAGTAGACTTCCAGATTCCATTGTTTCGACCTTTCCGTCTGTATCCTTCTACACGATGTGTATAAACCTTCACAAAACACCAAGTAATGATTATACTGTTATCAAACTAGAACACAGTAGTATTTACTACTGAAACAAGTTTAAAATTATGCATGTCAGCCATATATATATATATATATATATATATATATATATATCCACCTGGATGATTCCAAAGTCAAACTGAAGATAGCAGAGCAAAAGAGAAACAAATAAAAAAAATGGTATTCTAACTTAGATATATTCATGATTTCAATGAAATTCAACAACATCAACACTCCCGATACTATTAATTATCGTGGAATCACTAGACACTAGATCCCAGGGGAAATTTCTAGAATTCTATTGATAAGCCGTGACCAGTGGAGTTCAACCGAGTCAGATGTGACACAATTACCTAACAAGGACAATGAAAGATGGTCGCAAAATGTTGTGGACTGATTGAGATTAGACATAATCACTGATGGATGCCAACTCAGTGGTGTGGAGGTTGAGTGTTCATGTGCTAGACCGGATGCATTGGGTTCAATTGCTGTGTGCGGGATCGTGTATGTGTACTTCTGAGCAATTTCACAATAGGACAAAACGATTGTCCACTGCTTGCAGGTTTTCAATGCTGATTTAACTTAGAATAATTTATAATTTTTATGAAAGACAAATATTGATTCTTACTCAAGTAGATGGGGTAACTAAATAAATTGGGTAAAACCAAGACTATTAATGTTTCATTTGACTAACAAGTTGGTTGCCTATATTACTTATTAGTCATAAACATTGAGACGCCATGATTGTTTAATGTATATGCAAATTTCATATGAAATTTATTCTTGTTTTTAGAAGTATCAATTTCCGGTTTTCAATTACTTCATTTGAATTTAGCGATAAATATTAGTAGGTTAACATCTCTAACTAACAGAAGTACTAATGTTTTTGTAAAAGAAGAAAAACTTGTTGGAATGTAACCACAGTAGTATTTTGACCAGTGAGTATGGGATTCATCAAGATTAAATAAAAAAAAAATATGAAACAGCTAATCAGTTGTGTTCAAGTAAATTCAGTTAGTGACTATCACTCGGATCCAGGACGTACATTTTATCCCTTAGGATTTATTTGGATATATCTGAATTACAGTGTTGATGTTTACACTGAGACTTGAAACTCTTTATCTTTCATTTCAAACGCCTAACCCCATTATCCACTGAATTACCGAGCTCCAATAGTCACTCAGTTATGCATATTAGTAAGTCTGTAGAAATAGAATATAAGAATTAGAATTGAATGAATTATAAGTAATAGTCTGAATGTTCTACTATGAAGAAAAATCTGTAAACAAATTGTGTACAGAAGTTGAAACGAGTATCACAATAGAAATTTGTTTGACGACCTAATATTTTCATAGTTGAAAGCATTAGTCAATTGAAGCTACAACACCATGAAAAACCTGGAAGCACTGGATTGCCGTTTCGTCCTACTATGGGACTCCTCAGCAGTGCGCATCCACGACCCCGCACTCGTGAGATTCGAACCCAGAACCTACCAGTCTCGCTCCAGAGCACTTAACCGACAGACCACTGGGATGGCCGTCATCCAACGGTGTTAACCCAATATTTTGAAAGAATTGTAGTTTATTTTGTAAGGAAATAATTAACTTGATATTAGTTTACATCCTGAACTATTTGAAGCGATTGGAAAACTATTGGATTTTCGAACACTTTTGATACTAACATCTTTTTATTACCAATTATCTAGATAATCATATAAAACTGAAACTCTAGGATCTTCATATTTTATCCCTACAAGCACATAACCATCAATCCATTGATTTGCATTACGCGACTGTCCTAGATTGATATGTATCAAATGATAGATTTATAATCAAAATATTTATATTTTCCTTACCACGTTAACAATGAACAATCATATCGAATAAGGAGACTATGATTATTGCACCTTTCAAAAGTAAACAATTTAGAATGAAAGACTTGTTAATTAGTTTTATGTCACGTAGAACCAGTCATATGTGTGTATCTATTCAAGTTTCGAAGCAACATAAGTACAGAGAAAAGAATTTATCAAGACAAATCTCAGATTAGTAGAAGTATTAACGTTATCAATAGTTTCAGAAAAGATTAAATATAAACAGTATAATTTAAGTAGAAAGAATAAATTTGTCAGATATAGAAAAGTACAATATAGTTTTGAAACTGAAGATTTAAGAGAAAAGAAGGAGTAAATGCATCTATGCCACCGGGACAGATTCTGAACTGTGTCGCTAAACGTCTGCAACGATTGGTTACGAAAATCACATTGACCTCAACCAGGCGGCATTTTCCTTACAACGCAACTTAGCACAAATGTTAACAACTTCATGAATTATTGCCACGTTTTGGTTTGGAATCCTGTAATCTTCTTCCAACCTACTCTAAAACTAGCTATCATCGCATATCAGGACAGATGGTGATCGAGCACAAATAATGCATATCCTAAACCACTCAGTCGATAGATATTCACTGCCTCATCAATCAACTTAGCATCCTTCCTAGTACTTTGCACCTGATCTAGCATTTCTCAGTCCATCTTCCCAATACATACGAGTAATACTTTGAAAACACCTATACTAAAATATTAGTGATCTGTGAATATTCTCTGTTTTTAAAGGCGACCTTGCACAAACATAAGGTAGTAAAGAGCAAACTGTTGTGCAGTGAACTCATTCTTTTCTTATCAAACGGACATTTTCATACGTCTATGGTACAACATTTTCAACCAACTTTTAATTTTTCTCCAAACTGTTACAGTGTTATCCTAGGACTATTGATATAGATTGCAGTTAAAATGATATCATATGTGAATGGGACTTGTTGAGAATAGTTTAATTTATGGGTAGCATTTATTACAAATTGATCTCACTGGGAGAAGTTTGATTAAGAACTTTCATGTTGTAAAGAAACAGTTACTCAATGATTCTTGGCTTTCCGTAGCATCTAAATGAAGTAAACACGGTACTAAGACAATTGAACCAGCCACCATAAAACCCCTTTAACTAACATTATAACAGTCGCTTCATCTTTAACTCACTTTAAAGTGTTGATGAAGTTCTAATAATAAGTTGTGGATAGTGAAGTTTCACCATGTCAGGAGTGAAATACTTGTCAATAATAGCGTTAGCGGATCATCGCACTGTATTTCAAACTGTTTTAAGTTGTAGTTGTACCATTTAACGTCGACCCAGTAGTTTAATTAGTCAAGAGTACGTTGTTAAATCTGCAAGTCTTGGTTTTCATCTCTGATGGGATCATTTATACGAACTTCTAAGGGATCTCGTACCATAACGAAATAAATGTCCAACTCTCTCCATTCTTCAATCCTATCCTAACTGAAATCAGTCTGTGATTGATATAACAAACAAAATTATGTCTATTTTACAAATCGTCACTGCATCGAAGCTGAGTTGTAACAACAATTCGATGTTTTTTGCTAAGAAAAATAATATATTTTGACTTTTCTTCATATATAAATATAGCTATTTTTGAACAACAAAAGAAACGTCAACAAAATCAATCATCAACAATGATACTGACTGGTTTATCACCATTGAATAAAATCAGTACAATTGCAACAACCACTGGCACTATTACTACGACAATGGCTAATAACAATAGTAGCAATGCTAATAGTACAATATTTGAAGTTTCAGAAATGGTACCAGGTATTGTGACACGTAACTCGCCAAATGTAGCAGTTGTGAAAGAAAACGGTTTGTTAACAAGGTAGGTATTTTTGGTTAAATGAAAATTAAACGTCTCTGTTGAATTGATAAGGCTAATCTTGCTTTTTTCTCACTGCATATATTTTTTTAATGTTCTGAGTAATTAATAGCTTCAAAACGGTTATGACATAGTTGTAATTCATGTATATATATTACCTAATTATGCCTGTTGTCCGTTGTCGAGGAGCATTGGCTGCACACCAGCACTCTCCATCTAACTCTGTCCTGGGCAATCCTTCACAGTTGCTACTCATCCTTTTCATATCTGTTTCCAATTCTCGACTTAGTGTGTTCTCTGGCCTTCCACTTTTCTATTCCTCTTCAGGATTCCAAGTTGGCGCTTGCCTCGTGAGACAGTTTGGTGATTTCCGTAATGTATGTACTATCAACCACCAAAGTCTTTTCCTAATTTCCTCTTCAGTTGGAAGCTGGTTTGTCCTCTTGTACAGAAGGCTGTCGCTGATGGTATCGGGCCAGTGAATATTGAATATTTTGCGTAGACAATTATTTATAAATACTTGCACCTTTTTTATGGTGGTTAATGTAGTTTTCCAGGTTTCAGGTCCGTACAGTAGGACTGTGTTGACGTTTGTATTGAAGATTGTGACTTGCATATTGGTTGACAGTTGTTTTGAGTTCGATATGTTCATAACCGTGAGAATGTGGTTCTTGCTTAGTAAACTTTAGCCTTTACATCCGTATCATATCCTCTTTCCCAGGTACGTGAATGTTTCTACATCTTCCAGAGTTTCTCCATCAAGTGTGATTGGATTGATGTTCTCTGTGTTGTATTTCATTATCTTGCTTTTTCCCTTGTGTATGTTGAGGCCTACTAATGCAGAGGCTGCTACACTAGTCGTCTTGATCTGCATTTTTTCATATGTATGGGTCATACATATTAGTGAAACGTGTCCCTGAAAAGTTTAAGAATCAGTCAGCGTCACACTTCTTAGTAGAAACGAAGGAAGTGCAAAATGAAACTCTTCTAGTTTAAACGATGTACACTTTTGGCTACTTGATATATAAATTATTAGGAACCTACTTATACGTTTGTGAAAGCCTTGGGTGCTGGATGATTCAAGGTTAATGTTGTGTGTTTACATAGACAACTTATTATAGCTTTGAATCCTCCCCTGGTTGGTAATATTTGATTAATCTTAATGCCTAAACTATTGTACTTTCTATATTTTGAAATATTATGTAATATTTGTCAAACCTTTTATTTAATGGACCTTCATTTGTTTTCATTTATAAAAGCCTTGACAAGTGTGTGTGTGTGTGTGTGTGTTTGTCAATGACTGTTTGGCATACATTGTACTGATACATCATACATTTCAGATCAAATCTGTCTTTTCATTATACTATTTCCAAATTCATAAAAGGCACTTATTATTTTAACACTATGAAGAGCTTCTTTGTTTCACCAATTCATAAATATCGAGTGCAGCCAAGAAATATTTATTTCGAGTTTGCTTTTCATTATGGCTCCACACCAGTATGATTATAGCAAGGTTGTGGAGATTATCGAAACTTATACAATATGTCATGAACTTACCCTAGCTAGATGGATAGTGAAAATGAAATTATTTGACATCAATTTTGTTCTAGGATGGGACTTATCAGAAGTGGGCATCCGTGACACTGCTAGAAGTTGAACTGCTGAGGAGTCCCATTCGAGGACATAACAGATATCTTCTGATTTAGTATATTGTTTTGGGTGAAGATTCTGGGGGCGATAGATGACTGGATTTCATCAATGCTCTATAATAGAACTATTGAATGATTTATGGTAAGTTTTACACAAACATGTTGGATAATTTTGGAGTATGCATCTAAAAAGAGTATGCTTTCTGTAGCTTATATAACACCCTCCATGAGAGCAGGTATACTAACTAGTCAACACATACTGAGTCGGTCCAAAGCGGTGCTTCATCTTTAACATATTCTTGGATCGGGTACCTACGAAAGAATGTAATCTGTATTTCAAATGAATAGAATCTCTATTTCAATAAACTTGATGATCGATTTTTTAAGATATTTGCAATTGTATCTTTTGAGAGTTCAATTTTCGTAAACAGAATTTTTTCGCTACTATAAGAACTCTTAGCGTATAGCATTTTTGATTTCAGTTTATTGAAAATGAACTTGGGTAGAAACTATTTTCCATAAATATTTACTTGGTTCTATTCAATTTTTCACCAATATTATCTTTTTGCACGGATTCTACCAGTTATCGAAGATTGAATATACACGAAAAATTCATAATATTCACTTGGTATTGTTTGTTTGAGCCTTCCTATTGATTACTAGAACTGTAATTGATCAGTCTCTCATTAGCATATGTGTATACTTTGCGTATTGCTTCGAAATTACCTTAATTCACAAGCATTATAAGCAAAGATGGACAGTGGCTAGCAGTGGAATCCAAGACGCGCGTTTCGTCCTATTTGGGATTCATCAGCTGGATGTACCTGCATCCCAGAGTTGATGTTCACTCTGGAACTCGAATCTAGCACCGTTTGCTTCAAACACCGTCGTGTTATCCACTCAGCTACTGAGTCCTGATATCCACTTGCTTGTGCAATGGGGTGAAGTTTGAATTCACTTGGTGTTATTTGTTTGAATCTTTCCATTGATTTTTAGGACTGCAATTGATCAATCTCTTATATGTATATATATATACTGTGCGTATTGCTTGTGAAATAAAGCTATATCGATGCAATACGCACAGTATACACATATGGCCAATAAAAGACTGATCAATTACAGTCCCAAAAATCAATAGCGAGATTCAAACAAACAATACCAAGTGAATTTATTTGGTGTTATTTACCTATCATTACTTTAAATGTCAATATTACGAAGCATAATGATTGTTTGTATTTTATCATAGATACCATTAAGGATAATAGACTGAAGTAAAATGGTAAATATCAAAATATATCCTAGCAACTATGAACGCTTTTTTTATTTAATTTCCTATAGATTTGATTATTTATTATTGAATAAACTTATTCAGATTATAAAAAGGTATACGAATGTATTGATTACTAGATTTTATTGTTGAATGTTTAGATAATCAGATTGTAGATTGTTTTGTTTGTCTCACTCTGTTGAATAAACATTTAACATTGAATGTTTCAATGATTGAATAATTGAACAAATGATAATTGAATCGTTTTCTGTTTATCTTCTTTTTTTGGAATGATTTGGCACTTTATATAAGTAGTTGAATAATGTAGTCAAGTGTTTTTAGTGTATAATGATTAGAATTTATTTATATGATGGAAGCAAGTTGTAGGGAAATGGGAAGATTCTCTTATGCATCACTGATCGCAATTCACTTATTTACTTATGACCGTTACCCCTCGTCGAGGAGCATAGGCCGCGCACCAGCACTCTCCATCTAACTCTGTCCTGGGCAATCCTTCACAGTTGCTACTCATCCTTTTCATATCTGTTTCCAATTCTCGACTTAGTGTGTTCTCTGGCCTTCCACTTTTCTATTCCTCTTCAGGATTCCAAGTTGGCGCTTGCCTCGTGAGACAGTTTGGTGATTTCCGTAATGTATGTACTATCAACCACCAAAGTCTTTTCCTAATTTCCTCTTCAGTTGGAAGCTGGTTTGTCCTCTTGTACAGAAGGCTGTCGCTGATGGTATCGGGCCAGTGAATGTTGAATATTTTGCGTAGACAATTATTTATAAATACTTGCACCTTTTTGATGATGGTTATTGTAGATCTGTCTTGACGCTTGTAATGAAGATTCTCACTTTTAGGTAATAAGGTAATAAGTAATCTGAGGGAAACTTGAAATTATAAAAACTTCAATTATACAGCTGAATGGCACGGTAGAATCATATGAATTATAATTTGCCAATGAATAAAGTTTTCAGAACGGAAAATGTATGAAGAATGCAATTTCGCCTTTTTTTCTTCTTTTCAAATTCACTAAAAACAAACTAAGCTCTTTCATTTTATTTATTCCTTTTAAATTAATACATGTTTTTGACCTCTTAGATATGGTTTTTATGGTGAATTGATTTTAACTGGAGAGCCATTTAAGTCTAAGGAGTATTGAACATTATCTATTCCATACTGGGTGCTCCTCATTAATGTTTACTCACGATGATAAACAGGTTATTCGATACACTGGTGTGAACCAAGTGAATGAAATACATTTAAGAAGACGAAGATTATCAGAACTATGTACCCAGTACCTTTCACTTCAAACGCCATCACGTTATCCACTCAGCTACTGAGTCATGATAGCCACTTGCTTGTGCAATGGAATGAAGTTTAAATTCACTTAGTATTGTTTGTTTGAATCTTTCCATTGATTTTCGGGACTGCAATTGATCAGTCTCTTATTGGCATATGTGCATACTGTGCGTAATGCTTGTGAATTAAGTCTATATCGATGCAATACGCACAGTATACACATACGGCCAATAAGAGACTGATCAATTACAGTCTCGAAAATCAATAGGAAGATTCAAACAAGCAGCATAGTTCTGATAATCTTCGTCTTCTTATTACACTATCAAGATTTATTAAAGGGACTAATTGCTTTGAAATACATTTAATCAGTTTTATTTAGAATACTTCTAAAGTGTACGAAGACAGCTAAGTGACCATCATTGTTTCATTATTAAGAAATGAAAATTAAACTCGACGATACAGTCGAACTCCATCAAATCGAATTGTTAGTTGATAAGTAGTTCATATCTTACATGTTAGATCAAGGTTTAATGTACTCCAGATCAGTGATATTATTTTTTTCAAATCTATTGTTTATCTGTATGTTTAGATATTTTTGATATACACCACTGTTGAACTGTTTTCTTCCAACGCTCTTTATGTGTACCGAATATTATTTATTCTATCCTGTTAATGCATAATCTTCTTGTTATGAATTCAAAAATATCTTATTTTACCAGAGTAATCGGACCACGTGATCTTAGGAGTTGTTGATTATAGTTTCTGCTAATGATGCATTCAT